GGGCCCCCCCCCCCCCTTTGTCCACAAAGCAATCCTAACTTGCCGATGTAGTATATTATATTATATATTATATAACATATATTTATGAGAAAGGGTTTGAGAGCTTATGTTATCTTTACAATAGGCTCTCCAACCCTCTTTCTTCGATAATCTATTTATTTTCCTAAAAAATGAAAATAGTCAGAACTGCATTAATTATCCTTTTTTCTGTGAAACTCTTAAAAGAAAAAAACTCCTTGAAGAAAAAGATATGGAATAGCATATTTGAAATTGTATTTTCTTTACTTCCACTGGGGGTGAAATACTACTAACTCTGAAAAAAAAAAAAGTATTAATAGCGATAAATTTAATTTTAGGTTGATTTTAGTGGAGAAGTGTTGAATCTTACATCTTTACCGGAAAGAAACACGTGGGCCGAGATTCATGCAGAGTGGGAGAAGGGAGAGGAGAAACCTAGAGGAAAAATCCTTCTACTCTATTCTCCTGATACTAAACTTTTCAAGGAACTTCAAGAAGCTCTCAAGAGTTTTCTTCATCTCGCTTGTCACTGTGATATATACGACCTCTTCGACGATGCATTGTTCGACACGATAGCGCTTGATCCGTCTGTCTGGCTGGAGGAGTTCGTCAATGATGTGGATGTCAAGATAATAATAGTTTCATCTATTGGTAGGTTACCAGATTTTGTCTTAAATAGCCTATACATACTTAAAACTCGAGATTTGTTTTATTTGAAAGTACTAATGAAGGCTGGAGCTTAATGGTTGTCGACTAAAAAATCATATAAAGCTTTTAAAATTGTCTTATAAATTTCAGATTAATAGTCTTCATGTTATTGACACACAAGCAAATGAAATTCAGATGTTAATTGATTTTGTAAGTTTCTAAATCATCTTCTATTTTAGGTGCATATCGTCGTCAGCTGGCTCTGCAAGGAAAGATTCCTCTGAACCTACCAGAGAATTCTCTTCTTGATGGTCTGTTCACCAGTGGTCTTAGGTTTGTGAGTACTTATCCAGGGTTAGCTACCAGTGGTAGAGTTGCTACTGCTAGATATGAGATGCTTCATCTAACAGAAGAAGGACACTGTCTGCAACCTCCTATAGGTGGAGCAACTAACAGAGAGTATCTTGTTCCAACCCAGCTTCATGAACTGTTCTGCTGGATCCATCATCTCCAACCACTAGACGTGATGGGTAAACCCTGGGTTAATTACCACCTGGAGTTACAACTACTTCAGGTTGGTGAAGCTCTACAAATCTAGTATATTTTTCATACTGTTTATTTTTTCTTTTTCAAATTAATTGAAATATGTGTTTATTTTTATATAATATTAATTTACAAATTGAGTCTAAATCACTTTGGCCATTTTTATGTTAAAAAAATATCCTACAAAGTACACATGCAAGTATTTAAAAGGAAAAAATTCTTTCAAATAATAAAAAAACTGTTTAAGGATGCCCTGAAACTGGTGCGTCGGGATCGAAGTTTGGTTGGGAACGTCTCGGGAACTGGGAATGGACTAACCATGCTGTAGAAATTGATACCACAATTATTTATTATATCTTGCCACGAACTTGAAATACCAAACAACATATCTAACCTTACAAGAACCTAGTTCTGTGTAAATATATTATATTCGAGCACAATGCAAGATCAGAATTTATCTTTAATTATTTTCACCCATTTATATTTGGCCAAACACTGCTTCAGTCAAATTCATGAAACGCAGCTTAAACTACAAAACTTGAATCACAACAAATGGCATCTAGTACCTTTTTAATAATTTAACCTATTTTATGTCAGAAATTTAAGTGTTTATTGATATAATCATGTAAATATAATAGTCTGTTACATCTTATATAAATTCGACAAGACTTAACAACTTAACTTTGAGGTTTGGGGTGAGGTATAGTTTGCTAAATGATAATATTAATTATTGCTTTATTGTCTAGTTTAGATAAATGAAGAATGTATTATATCTAATCATAATTTTTTCGGGGGTATGTAAGAATAGGTGAAATAGAGGAAATGTTCTAAATTTCATCCCTAAATAATGACAAATAAAGTCCATGGTCCATGGAACCGAAAATCTTATATCTCAGTTTAGTCGCAAGCTTCAGAATCGATATTTTATTTTATCAATTTCTGCAATAATATAAATAAAATATTTAGTTGACCCCCCCCCCCCCGTGAAAAATTGTTTCTTCTTCCTTGCTCGGTAGTGCAAATTAGGGGGTGGTTGAAGTGAGGGCGCAAATATTTTCAGATTGCATCACGAACTTTTAGAAAGTAGATATCATTAATAAAGTTTTTTCTCGCTTTTTTGATTTTCCCGGACATTTGTGAGGAAGAAAATTCAATAAAGATTGAATCCTTTGCCCTCTTTCACTTAAAAAAATTAGGGGATGAAAATTTAACTATTTCCCTTTTTTGATGATCTAGCCTAGTTTAGGGAAGAAAATAGGACCCCCCCCCCACATTTCTCGTTTTCTGGGAAAACATTTCTTCTTTCAAATTTTTTAACTTATTCACTAATTTTTACCTTCCCTGTTTGGTCAAATTTTGATTTAATTTCCCCCTTGTAAGAATATACACCCCTGATGAAATAGGAATTGACTTGCCACATTTTTTTGTCAGAATATGCTGTATTCAGGTAAATTTTTATTTTAAAAGAATGTCTAAAGAAGGCAGAACGTATCCACATATCATCAGTGTAAATTTTAAATTAATCATTTACATTTATGTGCACCGCCATTTTATTTATTTGAAATTATATGACAAGAGCTGTGATTTGGCCTCGTGAACTACAGTTGAAGATAATAAATTATTGATAAATGTATTTATTATTACATATTAGGGTAGTCAACGCGCTGGTTACCATAAAAAAAAATTTATCCGTAGCACTCTGTACACTTGGACCTTCTCGCAAGGATGATTTTTGCAAAAATGGAAACTTTCAGCTCTCAAAAGGGAGTGTGATCAACATCAGACAATCATTCCATAAGTTTTTAGAATTACATTATGTATTAAATATAAATTACTGAGAAAATACCAATTGTTCCGGAAAGCCCTTCTTGCCCCCACCCCCCCGCAACCATCATTAATATCAAGGAGAATTAAATTCAAGGAGGGGGCGATAAGGTTTCCGTACACTTTGCTGTGGCGTTTTTGGACTACTGAAGAACTAGTTTTTGCGTAACAACAATAATAAAGGCAGCCGATCTAATGTAAAGAAACATAAGTTAGTTTACGGTGAATCTTCATATAACGCCAGAGATGCGCCAGATGTCTGTTCATCATTTGTGTTATTGTTTACAATCTTTGTTATTGTTGTTACGCAAAAACTAGTTCTTCAGCAGTCCAAAAATGTCACGGCAAAGTGTACGGAAACCTTATCGCCCCCTCCTTGTATTCAATTCTCCTTAATTAATATAAAGCCTGCACATGATTGTAAGGTCAAAATTTTCTCCACAATGTTTACAGTAAAAGAACACTTGCCGGTGTACTGCATTAGTTCATGATCTAAATGCGCGTTTAAGGCTGAAAACGCAAAAATTTATTCAAGTGATCAATAAAAAATTCGAGATATGGAAAATTAAAGTTTTTTTCCTATCAAAATTTATTATTTAAGCATCGGCAAGTACTTTTTATGCCTAACGTTGTGTTGAAATGGTTTTAACACTAGGGGAGATGAACTGATGCTTTAATGTATTCTCAAAGGAAAAATGCATTAATGAGAATAAGGTTTTGCAAGGAAGACAAAATTCGATAAGTTTTTTTACGTTTGCATAACAAGAGTTAACAAAATATTTGAACGCTGCTTTCATCAACTTAACTTTGTCGGGATGGTTAAAATTTCCCACCACTTACAATCCTACATTTTCTCTTCATGATAAAATGGGAGAGGTTGCTTAAGCAATTATCTCTCTCATCAGTCGTTTGACGCAGGTAACACTTACAATCCTACCTTCTCCCTTCTTGATAAATATGTATCTCATCAGTTGTTTAACGCCGGTCAAGTCTTTGTCTGACAAAGTTTAGCACGATATTAGAAAGATTCATTTAATTTGTAGTTACAATCAGGAAAACCCGGAATTAATCGATATTTAATCCGGCAATTTTACATTTTTAAAAGCTCAAAAAAGGCAGACCACATTTTGGAAATGGCAGGACTAGGGCTATTTTGTGATTATCGTTTCACCAATCATATTTGTAAAATTAGGTTGTAAAGTACTCTAATTAATTGTAAATAAATTCCGGGTCTTTCTGATTAACGTTGTACTTGAAAGTGTTTAAGAAATAGTTGATTCAATTCAATAAGGCCTTTCTTCCCTCTATACAACGAAATAAAACATAGTTCAGCGTTTTGTACAAACAGATCGTTTATTCCTTGTAGCTTGATGGATTGACTCCGGAGGTAAAATATAATTTCAGTAGATTCAAATTTAGTATTAAATCATGACATTACTAAAGTCTGTATCTAAAATAAACATTTTAAGATCAAATATTTTATTTATGAATCAAAATCAAGTAAAACATTTTTACATAAAATAAAGCAGATTTTAGAATAGAGGTGACAAAATTGGAAAATCGATTTAAATGATTTTTCATTTTTAATAATAGTTGTACGCTACATTTGTTTTCTGCGATGAATGTTCTGAACAATACATTTTACAAACTTGAATATTTATCAACATTCATCCTTGAAAAAAAAAAAAATTCGGTTCAGCACGGTTCAAAATATCTCCCCACCACCAAGAAATATGTAATTATTTTTATCACAGAAACAAAATAATGTAAAACTATATTGATTAAAAAAATATGCATAAGTGTGTCTGTGAAAAGGTTTTGATTAGCTTTTATAGAGGATATTATTATATTTGCTTTTCAAAGCTTTCAAAGTATCGACAAATTAAATAGTCTTTATATAGGATAAATTACAATATGTTAATGCATTCACTTTAATTAAACATACATGTAGTGAAATATTAAAATGCAGAACATAAAATATATTTGGTGAAAATATATATATCTACATCTAATTATTAACAATGATAACAGTTTTTAATCACATAGTAGAGAGCTGAACTAATTGTTTGTTATTATTCCATTAGATGGTCTAAAGCTAGAAATTTAAATATCGGGAGAAGAAAAAGTTATTTTTAATCTAAATGAAAATTAACAAACAAATATAGGACGGTTTCGGATTCGTCCAAATACAGAGTGTGCAACAGTATTTTACAATCAGTTATCAGACATGAGTTTGAATATAAAATATCTACATGTATGGCACTTTAACTTTATTCTCCTTATAATATTATATGTTCGGCTCATTACATAAATGTACATTGTACAATATACATACAGGGTGAGTAAGAAAAGCGTAAGAAGTATAGTCTCGTGCAAAATTGTGCAAATCAACCTAAAAAATGTCATCGAAATCCAATTCACGATGGAGAAAATCCGCCAAATTGTTTTTAGTAAATATACAATTTTAAATATAATGTTAGTGTACAAGATATTAGATCAGAGAATTAAAGCGGTGGAATATTCTATAATAATCTGTAATTAATCAAATTTTCGTCCTATTCATTTAATTTTGACGAAAAATAAATGTTCACGAATTTCTTTTCGGGGGGGGGGGGATCGGTAGATTTATAAAAACAACTTTCTTTAATTATTGGAAAAATACCTGACATTTTTTTTGACTCACCGTGTACACACATAGAAAAATACCAGTTTGGTCGTGGATTTACTTTAAATAATAAAGACCATTATATATTACATATCTTTGGCAAACAAATAAAATATGAAAAGATAGAAAATTTTACTACTTCTAATAATGGGATGGTATTCTTAGAACTCTGTGCTTCAGTAGATTTTTATTTAATAATAGCACTAAGTCCCGCAGGTTCACAGATAAATATTGGTTTAAGGTCCAATGTCTTGTTTACTGTCCACCTATTCTCGTGAAGATTTAAACAACGATATCTTTTGTCTCCATTTTTTCTCAAGACTTTTTTCAAATTACAAAAATAAAAACCTTGTGATGTTAATGTTCAGTCGATTAAAAGTTAATTTGTCGAAGTAACATTAACTATTTCATTATTCCAATCAGGACTCAGGATGTTGACAGTCAAGTTCAAAAATAAAACATACTTGGTCAAATATAGCCTAAACTTGTATTCTGATCACTGATATAGAATTCAGTTGGATTTCTGTAAATAAACAGATTTAACGGACGTCTCAGACAAAATGCATCCAAGATTTTCGGAGAGGGGAGGGGGTTGTGGTCAAATAAAACAGTTAACAATCCCACTTACCCCATCACTACAAAATAATATTACTATGTAAATTGGAAAATAAAATTTAAAGAAACATGTCTCTCCACTTCATCCTGATTCTATCTACAAACAAAAGTGAGCTTGTTTATATTAAAATCAGCCAATTTTTCATTTTTGAATATTTAAAACCATAATACACCATTCACATTCTAAAAAAATCCCACTTTCTTGAAATACCGCCGATTTTTCTTGGTTTTTTATCCGTCTACGAAAATATTCTTTGTTTCTGTATGCTGCAAGTATTGCATCATGATCCTTCTTCCAGCTCTAATCATCTAACGTCTCTTACAAATGATAAATTCCTCCAGATCCACTGAAAAAATATTTATTGTGGGATGAATAAAAATCATAAACTATGTGAATAAGAGAACCAAACGCAGCAGATTTGATTTTAAAAATACAAAAATAAAACTGTAGAAGAAAATAAAGAAAATATAATTTGTTTACATTAAAAGAGTGTTTACCTCGATACAGGAGTAATGTTTCCAGATACCCTGGGTAAACTAGTTCGAGATCTAACAAAAAAAATGTTATTAACATTTGCTTTAATAGTCTCGCCAGACCAGGGACAGCTCGATTAAATGCCCCAACGAATAACAAATCACAAGAATATGGCATTTGGAAATGGTGTTTGTTTATTACACTGTGACATATCAAGAACTAGTTTTATCGTTAACAAATAGAACAGTTCGCCCAAGCCCGGCCTCCCAGGAAATCCAAAATTTGTTCAGAATATTTATTATTATTTTCTATTTAACTAGTTCCCCAGCTGTCCTAATACGGCTTAAGATGACAAACCCTATTTTCCTTTCCCTAGTTCTACAACTCCTTGAAACAGAATAAATTTCTGCTAACCGCACGATCCGTTTATCTTAGTTCGGTCGTGTGGAAGAAAACAATAAGATCATTTCCTTACCTTGCGTTAGTGTCGTAGCTTCTAATATAATCTGTTTGTGAAACCGCACCTCTCTCTTCCTGAGAGAAGGCATATCCTCGCCTAAATATAGATGGAGTTCAGCCATTCATATTTTTCATTTATTTATTATATTCTGAAAATTCACTAAATTCCACTCCACAGATATTTCCTAAAATACTACGACGACCAATTTTTATAATAAGTTTCAAACATAATGATATTGGGGTAAACACTCGTAATTTATATTCACAAATTCATAGTTATCCGATACTCTGCTGAATTTTCTCACCTAGCATTCATTTCTACATCGTCCAGCTCCTTCTGCCTCTTCTTAGTCCTGGAGAAAGTATTCTTCCAGTTCTTGAGAAGACTGCTCTGCTCTCCAGGGGATCGTTTACTCCCCTCTACATATACCGCTGGATCCCGCTCCATGATCTCCGCAATCCTAATTTTATCCGCCTCGGAGGTGTAGACTGTGGTCCGGATAGCTCGGTAGCAAACATCGAAGAGGAGGGTTATAACAGGGACTAGGAATAAGCTGAACCAGAACACAGGAGATGAAACAAGTAACCAGATCTAGAAATATATTTAATTAAGAAAATGAAAATCAAAGAAAATATAATAGTCTAACTACAATATGTTGATAATAAATCCAATTCTGTGCTGTTAAATATACGCTCAATTGATATAACAGGTTGTATCAACTAATCACTAGAATGATTGAAAGGACAAAGATAGTGTTTAAGTTTTAACGTGATCTATTATTCGCCTGCTTGGACTGGACGAATTGGGCGGGTTATTAAAAAGGAAAACGGATAAAATATTCGTCTGTTTAAATCAATTCAATAACAAGGACGGAAAAAATATAAATATAAAAAAAATATGATTATGGACTATGGCACAGCTTCAACCATTTCTGCAACATAACAATGCACTAAAAATAAATTGCCAAATCGCACTCAGTTTTGTGACTTTATAACGTAAAAAAATAATCTTTGGTAATTTATAAATATACATATAAGAATAAATATGAAATATTGTAACAGAACTCACCATCCCGGACATATTAGCAGCGAGTGGTAGAGTTGGCCAAAGTTGACTGTACACAATCAGGAAAAGGAACCATAGTGTTATACTTCCCCAGATGCTAAACATCAAAACTCAAATTAGTTGGAGTTTGGAATATTTGTACAGAGTAAAGGTTTTTAGGACGGAAATTTATGAAAACAGTGAAGAGGTTAGACTAGATACGGCTAGTTCAAGTTAAAGTGGACAGGTTAGTAAAAATAAGAAGCTTTTTACACTACTTTTGCTCATTAATAATAAGGAAAAATTAAAAAAAAAATATATGTCTGTCCGTCTGCTTTTTTCTGTTATTCTAAGTGAAGTTTTTTAAATGTCTGTTCAAACAACAAATTTCCAACAAAATAAATTTTTTTTTTAAATAACTGACCTGCCATGACTAAACCAGGTCCAAGCATCCATCTCTAGGCCTGCCTTTAGACAGGTTGTGATTACTACCAAGGTGTAAACAGTATTCCCAAGTACCAGATAATCATCACTCCTGAGGAAACAGTTTCGTTTGACTTATTTAATTTTTTTTTCTTTTACAAGATTTAAAAATTGGTGTTGATGTTGGTCCAATTCACAATATAGTAAATGAAGCAGATAATAATTTTTGATAAAAATATATTTCGGTCTGGGTTGACCCTTCTTTATTTTACCTTCCGTTATCCCAGCTGACCCCAACCTTCATCGCTAGCTGGGGCAGCCAAAAGAGTAGAACTGAGTGGTAGAGGGATATCCCAATCCAGATCCAGAATTGGCGGTGGTTAAACATTTCTGATTTCTGAGATGAAAGATACAAGGACGGATACTTTTCTCTGGTAGCTGCTGAACACGTTCTAAAAATTAAACATTGTCAACTTTTACCAACTAGCTCGAACATCAAAACAGTATAATATATAATTTTAGAATAAGATTTTTTATGGGTATTATGGAACGTTTTTTTAAATGGGAAATAAAACTTTACAAACAAAATGAATTTGCTATCAAGCAAGTTAGCAAGCAAAAAAGTTTTCAAAGGTTGAGTTAGATTTCAGAATTGTTTAGTTCAGCATTCTTATTAAATTCAAAATTGAACCTGTCAAATAGACCAAGGGCAACCGGAGGTGCGGAGGTAAAGAAAATATTATACATTCCTATAGTCCATCTCTCATACAGGACCTTAACAAAACAATATTTGATATCTAATTGATAATAAAACAACAATATGTAAAGTGAACAGTGTACACCGTACACCATTACGATCGAAATTAACTAAAAACGATGCACTGAGCCTGAACCTTAAGACAGAGTATCGTAATGAAACCCAGTATCGAAACCCCGGGTTCATGAATGAGGTCAGGCAGCCATGTAGATACCAATTTATTTCTTAGGAAATATTATTTCATCTTGTTTCTTTAAATTCTCTTTTTGTTATCTGATTTCTTATATTAAAATCTACGCAAATGTATAAACCCAGCTCAGAATACCCCCATATCATTATTTATTATAGATAAAAAACGTGTACTGCAGTTTGTTGGAGAAATGTAAAAAAAAACTACAAGCGGCTAGTGTCGAATTTTCTTTATATTCCTTTCAGAAACTGCAGCACACTTTGTTTAAAACAATATACCTGTCCACTCCAGTAGTTGTAAATAGCAAACCAGAGCTCTATTATATACAGAGTTATGTTCTTATAGAAAGAATAGAGTATCACCTAAACATAAAAAAAATTTTGTAATGAAACAAATTAATGTGTTATTTACATCGTTTTTCAAAAATAATATCCCATCTCTCCCATGGAAAGACTGTTTTTCCAAACTAAGTAGGAAATATGATTAAACCGATCTGATGCTTATTTCATAATTTCATTCTCAGGAGAGAACAGAACTCTCTTATAGCGGTCCCGGATTTACAGTATGAAGGAGCGCTCCGTTTAGTTGCGCATCTAGTATCCTACAGGAGAAGCAAGGAATGTACATAGAATAAAACAAGACTTCATCTTCATCCTGGTGTAACTGAAAGGAGTCTAATCTCTGATGGGTATACAAGCCATGCACAACGATACCAGTTTTTTACTTGACTAGATGTGAGGAATCGATGGAATATTCCACTCAAAGGGACTTTAAGGCTTACAACTCCCCATTTTCCATAATGGGTGCAGTTATGGGTTTCCTTAATGCCCCTCAACTCGGAAAGAGTATAAAAGAAGGAACACAGGGAACAATCTTCTTTATCCTTCCCCCTAAAAACCTACTTATCTCTCTCCAACCTGCTCCACTACTCGATGTCAAAAGAACTATTGATATAAATATTTAAAAATATTGTAAACTTTAATTAAAATATTTTCATCTAATATGATATAAATATTTAAAAATATTGTAAACTTTAATTAAAATGAATTATTAAAGTTAAAAATATTTATTCCTGAAAATAATAAATTAACACCAAGAACAAATTATGAAAAAGAACTTGTAAAATAATTATGAAGGTATGACTTACTTTGCTGATTCTTGAATAGTTCCATGCTCCGTGAACAAAGAGAAGGCGTGAGAGAAATCTGAACTGTGCAATGGAGAAATCAGCACTGTTTGCAGCCTGTAATTATACAATATAATCATCATATTGTCCTGTAATTTGAGGAAAAATTTGTATACTCAATTATAACACCAATCCGGTTTTTTGCAATACCCATAATACACCAATCCGGTTTTTTAGCATTGCCCACATCAGACAAATTAGATTTTTGCATGTCCCACAATATAGCAATCAGGTTTTTTAGCATACCCTATAATAACCAAATTCTTTTTTAGTTTAAATATTAAAATCTTTAATCATCAAAAAATGGCCGGAGTTTTCAAGGGCTCTGTTCTTTAATATTCTTAAGATACTTTTCCAAGTTCCCTGAGATTTGAAATTGATGTTACACATTATGCTTTGTTGCAAGTCGGAACCAAAAAAGAATTTAATTATGAAGCTCCCAAGATCAGTTTTAGTGTATACTGTATATAAATCTTTGGGGGTTCCTGTTTTACAAATATTTACTGAATATTCGCCAAAATTTGAAAGAAAACGACTTAATAATAGATAATTCCCAATGATTTACCTGGAGGCCCTCATTTCCTGATATACCAATACCAACATCTGCTTTCTGTATCATCGCTACATCGTTAGCTCCGTCTCCAATCGCAAGTGATATTGCTTTTGTGTGCTCGCGAACCTAAAATAATTTTCATAATAGTTTTCTTAACTTAACTGAGAATTAGAAAATCACTTAATTTTACCCCACTGGGAAATCAATTGTTTTCACCATTAAGTTAGAAATGACAGATTCTTTCAATTATTTTTTTTATTGGGGGGGATGGATTTAATTTGGGAATAAATATATCGGTCGGAATTAAAATATTTGTCCCAAAAAGTGTAGCGTGGTTTTCTTTAAAAGTTTATGGGAAATAAATTGTTTAGTTGGTGGCTTAATGAATGAATCATAAAGAGGTAAAAATCCACAAGTAATAAAGTTCCACTTTTCATTAAAAAATGTAATTATTTACCAATTCTACCATCTCCGCTTTCTGAATAGGACTGACCCTACAGCATACAACAGCTTTACAACTAGTACACAGATCAATAAAATCCTTCCTGAGATCAGGGAGAACAGTATAGTACAGAGACTTCCCATCCAGAACCAGGGTCATCTCATTAGCTTGTCCAACCATATTCTTCTCCCTGAATATATATAAACATGAATAAGATCAATCAAGAGAGTGTACACTGTACCTTCTACTTGATTTAACCCCACGATACCCCACAACAAAAGTCGGACCTCCTCCTTTTCCTCTGAGTAAAACTCATTCTGCTATCCTCACCTAGTCGGCTCATTTCCCAGTTATCTAAACCGGACTTTTTCCCTGTCATCGGAGCCATAATACTTTCTCTTAAGTTTATTCTTCTTCTCTATCCGGAAACCTTCTCCGGTATCCTGACCCGAATTATTTTCCATGTCCTTAGTGCCAGACCCCTTCCCATATCCTCTGAGCCGGTATTCTTCCCTTGTCTTTTATTCTACTCTTGCTCCTTCCTTTGGGTCAGAACCCTTCCCTGTCCTGAGTCGGAACCCTTCCCTAGTCTTTAGTTACTCTATTTCTATCTTTTATGTAAAAAATAACAAATTCCAAAAACTTTATGTCTAATTATATTTCCTTACAACTTAACAATGAATATATTAGGAATAATTATATATGAAGCAAAAAGTCCTAGGATCACTTCTTATCTTTGTTTCCCTTTATTTGCAATCTATATGATAAAGCTCTTCGCGCATATATATATGTATATATATGTTAGCTATAGATGGACCGAATAGGCTAATTTTGAAGAAAACCTTGGGATTGATTTTTTTTAATTCGAAAATTCCACGGGGAACGTCGAGCACTTGAGCAAGTATTATATAATAAGAAACTAACTTAAAAGTGTTCAGATTTGCTTCTATCTCTTCCTTAGCTTCCTCAGCACTGCTCACATTGATTATTATCAATCCCATTTTATCCGTGTGTAACCTGGAAAAAAAAAATTAGAAACTTAAAAAAATTTGTTATAAAATGCTTTTAAAAATAAACATGATCATGTCGTGCTACCAAAATCCTAAATTTAATTCAATCTCGACACTTATGTAAGACATAAATCATTATTAGATCCCGCTGTATCTCTGGAATGACACAAAATCCCAAACAGAGCGTTCTTAAACCTTCCTTGGCAAATTTCTCCAAATGCTGTAGTGTTAAATCATAATATTCACGTTGTTCACTAGACTCCCCTAACCTATCCAGGATTACATTATCCGCTCCCTGTAACATGCGCACTTTCAATAAATTATTAATAATAAATTATAACTATAACTGAGCAATCGATTTTTAAAAGTTTCAAGTTAATATTATACCTTAATATAGAGCTTTATCTGATTTTGAGGTGTTCGAACCACTACACTCATTCGCTTCCTCGTCGAGGTGAACTCGATCACGTTTAATATTTCGTAAACTCTCTCACTACCATCTGGAACCCTGATCGTTACATTCTCAGGTTTCCTGGCTACAAACACGTAGCCGTATTTTGCAGCTGCTTCTACCAAGGCCTTCTCATCAGGACTAGCAGCATTATAGTATATCTCGTCTAAACTGTTAGTTTCAGGAATAACTGTGTGGCAAACAGAAAGAAGGACTAAAAATTCTTCAATGCTTTCCGGAGAGCCGACACCCTGAAAATTGGCATATCATCATTCTACGCAATAAACCTTCGAGAGAGGGTTTAAAATAAACAAAAACGGTTAATAATATCAAATGATTCAGAGCAGGGATATATTATCCCAAACATTCAGATCTCCACTCCAAGTTTTGAAGAGAAAAGTACTTACAATTAACAAATTTGCGATTCAAACTCTTTTTATGTTTTTTTTAGAAACAAATCATATTTCCACAGAAAAATTTAATCTACCGAAAAATTTGTAAAAATTAGTGCTCGGCGCAAGACTTATGACATTTAAATTTTGACATTCTTTTTAAGTTAAACAAATGAAATTTAATTTTGATACTTGGTGACTCTCCGCCAAGCCTTCCCTTAAAGATAATTTTTAATATACATTTTACGGACAACTTTACTTCTTGCATTATTTTCAAATCATTATTTATTATGTATTGTGTAAATATAGATATTGATTCTGTATGTATTGTCTATTTAAAACACATTTTACATTCTACTTATTTCATAAAAAAAAACAGTTGTATATCAATAAAAAATAGACAAAATGACACTTTGTCTGCACATCTCGTAATCGTTCATCGTCAAAATAAAATATTTTTGTGAAACTATTGTGTACTTTAGCATTCTTCTTCACTTCATCGTGCATTTCATAATGAACGTGCTGTAAAGTAATCATCGTGCAATAAAGTTAAATAACTGTACATTATAGCTAAAGCTCGGGACTAAAATTAAATCTAAAAAAGCTTAAACCTTCTCGATAAAGAGAAAATTTCTGTCCGAAAACTTTATGACACTGCGAACCAAAATAACAGTGTTATAAATAGTTATTACATAACATAACCCTAGTCGTAAAAAAAATATAATTCCATCCAATACAATCCCAAATGTTGATTGATTGATATACGGGGCAGAAATTAACCATGTTATTATTGTAAACAGTTGGCCGGAAGTAAAATGTAAGGTTGTAGAAAAAATTCCATACTGCAGAATGTATACGTCAAGGGCAGTGCTTAGGGGATCCGGATCCAAGGGGTAAAATATCAACCAAAAACTGCAACAAAAAAAAACTTTACTCCTAAAACCCAAATCTGAACTTATAAAACTTTCCTCATTTCTGAATGGTTCATCAAGTTTTAGGATAAACATAAGCGAAAAAAAATAAAACAAAAAATTTGAAAATTACTTTTAGTTAAAGAAATGACCTGGATTTGTTTCCAGTGCGATCCAGGATCCGGATCCACATCAAAATTGAATGGATCTTAAGCTCCCTAAGCACTGGGCAAGGGAATGATTTTTTTCTGTAAATCATTATTTATTTCTTATTTTGATTACTGATATTTACAGGTTTAAAACCCCTAAAACAGTGCACTTGCTTAAGTACACAATAACACAGAAAGTGTATTTTCATGTCCCTAAATGTGCTTTCAACCCCGATCCCATTTGGGATCAGAAATGGAATTATATGGACCCCTGGACTTGCACAAGATAAAACTACAAACTTTCGATTTTAAAAATCGATTTTTTGAAAGTATTAAGTATGGAGTTGGTTGTGCACGCACAAAGAATAGAAATTATAAATTTGATAATTATAAAGTAAACATAAAAAAAGATAAATACCATTTTTAGATTTTCTAGAATATTCTGAGGCTGTGGATCCATTTCATCTGAGTCCAATGAGTAGGATATCCCTCCTACAGTACACTTCTTGTACTCCATCACGTTCATCGTCAAGGTTCCCGTCTTGTCAGAGAATACGTATTTAATCTGTCCGAGCTCCTCGTTCAAGTTAGAGGTTCGGGCCAATGCGTATGAATCCACTCCCATTTCCTTTAACAATATAAATATATATATATATAATATATGTCTGGTAATGGAACTTTTAATTAAAAGGGAATATTACAGGGGTGTATATTTTCTTCAAAAATCCCCCACCCCAACAAAAATTCCTAAATTTTTCCACCGGATATTAAGTATGTTTCAGGCAGTGCTAAGGATCCGGTTCCGTTAGATCCGTAAGATTTTGGCTTCCTGGATCCGGATCCACGGATCCTGAGATCTAAGGGTCAAAATATTAACCAAAAACTGCAAAAAAAATGTTTATAACCTGGATCCTGATCCGCATTAAAATTAAATGAATCCTAAGCACGGGTTTTAGGGTTTTATTTATTGAAAATATTTAATGGGGAAAACGATAAATTTTTTGAATAAAAAGAATCAAAAAAGGGTGAGAAAAAAATTGTTTGCCTTTACATATTAAACTTTTCATTATTCTCAATAAAAAATAATTTATTGAAAATATATAGCTCTGAAGTACAAATATGAAAACTGGTCGAAACGAGTTTTTAGAAAATGTAAAGCTCTCCATAAAACGCCACAAAATATGGACCCAAATTGTTTCAGATTTCTCTAAGCTCGGTTTAGGAGAAAACTACCCAAAAAAAAAACAATCGACTCAAGAAAATTTTCTAAATTGTGAAGAAAAAAAATGATCACCTCGTCAATATAATGCATCTCCTCGTCACTATTTATATAAAGAGCCTGGATAACCTTGACTAGCTCCAGGGTTACTTGTAAAGATATTGGAATAAGATTGTTGTAAAGTATGAAGAATGTGAGAAACTGGTATCCAAACCCAGAACCTGTCTTCTCCAAGGATAGACCGATATAACTGTGATTGTCTCCATTCCCGCTTAATATCTCGTTCGCTAGCGCTGAGATTAGTGCTAGGGCGACAAGAATAAAGAATAAAAATAATATTTGTGTATTTGTCTCTTTGTCTAAGGTTGATCGTTTAAGGGGTGCTTTCGTGGAATTCATTAAAAGTTTAGATTCGTGGCCGGTATAAACCACTAATCCATGAATCCACTGTGTGTTTCTTAACCTTGCTCCCCTGAGTAGGAGCTGGGTCGGACCAATAGGAACTGCAGGATCTCCGTGTAAGACAATGTTTCCTCGGAACTCGTAAAGATGTCTGTTGGCCGCCTCTGCCATGACGTATCCGGCAGTCCGACTCAAATCATCCGGCGCACATATATCCTTGGTAGCTGTGTGCGCTGATCTAATTTTCAGGTTTGTTTCACCGTCTAGGTTTGCAGTTTCGATGTAACAAATACCATTTGGTTCTGATGATGAGACTAAAATAAGATCAGCTGGAAAAAATTTATCGTTCACCACCTTTAGAATATCCCCCACACAAACATCTTTCCATTTCTTCTTGGAAAAGCTGCCATTGTCCCCGAGGACATCAACCTCACTAAGATTAACCCTCCTGTCCGCCTTGTGCCTCTTCATGTCCTCCAGTAGCTCCTTGAGAGCTGTCAGGAGAAGAATGAACAAGAATGGAACTATTGTCACATACTTCCCGGTAGGAGATACTCCGGGTATCTGCTGTAGCAGGCCAATCGACAAGAAGAATATATTTGCATACCTAAATAAAGAAATTTAAAAAAGACACCATTTTGAATTTTGAAAAGTTGTATGTATAATTGTGACATACTTGACCAATTTCTTAGACGTTCTACCATAGGTAGAACCATAGTCACACTATAGTTACGCTTTACCAGAGCAGTGTAGATAGATAGATACGATCTATAGTTGTACCTATGGATAAATGAATAAGAAATTGGCCACTACTATCTGATACACTAAAGGATAATAACAGGGGTGTATATTTCTCGAAAAATAATTATTATTTAGGGAAAACAAATTATTTTTTGGGTTAAAGTATCAAAATGAATGAAAACAAGTTGTCTTTTGATGTCCAAATCTGAATTTTTCTAGAATTAGCTCCAGGTCCATCAATATCATCATCTTCCACCACAGTACTCGCATTACTGTAGGGGAAATATCTTCGTAATAGATCCATTTTCGGATTCTGTCAGTCCCTCGACTTACACTGTTTAGACATTCTTAAAAATATAATTCTGATATTAACCTTTTTATAATTACAATCTCTCAAATCACGGCAGGCATAACTCAAAAAGCAAAGTTCCATATAATTCTGATATTAATCTTTTTATAATTACAATGCTGTCAATCTCTCGACTCACTTAAAAAGTAAAATTCCATATACTTTTTAAAATTTACTAGAAAAAATAGCACAAAAACTACATAACTACCTTCTAAATATTTTCCATTTTTGGCGATAATCAAAGATGAAAGCAGTTATGAATACAAAAAGTTAAAAATATGTTGATTGGTTTTATTTAAAATAATTAAACTAAACAAAACGGATCTTATGGAAACATCCTTATCATAATATTTACTGTAGAAATATTTTATAAATAAGGACATTAGGTCTGCTGAAAAATATACTAATTTGTAATTCTTTTTTTTACAAAAAAAAAGTTTAACTAGTCTTTATTTTATTAGGCAACCGCTAGCGCTTAATGCTTAACGCGACTAAACTCGAAATCCATAGCATATCTTAAAGTTAAAAAAAATACTAGAAATCCACGAAGAAAAGATTCAGAAATGATCAGCGTCGAGAGAAAAGGAAACTGTCTGGAGAGTTTATGAGATAAAAAAGATTAGGTCTTCGAACCTTAAACTAGTCATAAACTCACAAGCTACTGCTGTCAATATTAGGTGACAATGCCCATTTAACAACTGTACCCTTAAGACCTTGATTAATATTATTGTAAACGTGTAGTAGAAGTTAACGTCGTTATTCAGACTCCTCTATTCTTATAATTTCTCCAGCCTTTCTTATAAGCAAGAAATGCACAAGTCACTTTTGCAGAGAACCCACAGATTGAAACAAACAGTTTTCAAAAATAAAAACAAGTAATTCATGAATTGATCAGACAAAGCTTATAAGGGTATCGTTGTAAATCTGGCATTGTCATCTTTGCATGGAGGATATCATTGAGTTTACACTTCCATGTTCAAATTATACTTCAAATACTCTCTAAATACAACAGGGATCCACATCACAAAACTGGGAATGTTCAGATTTGACAACCATAGCTCATCTTAACTAAACATGAAATACCCAGTTAACAAAATAAAAGAAAAAACCCTAATATTTCATGCAATGAACTTCCTTGAAAACACTGGAAATTTTACGATTGTCAGTCGCTACCTTGGTCAAACTATAGATCGCCAATCGCCCTCTGCACTTCCGATCAAGAAAATTGAAAAGAAAAATGGTATTTCAATCTGAACAACATATAATACAAATTGTTCAAAAAATATAAGCTTCCGAGGAGTTCCGTTGTCAAAAGGAAAACTATTAAAAGTTACGGTTTAATCGATTTCTCATAATAATCCTTCCCTTCTCTCTTGTAATTAAAATAAAACAAATTAGTTAGAACACAAAACATATCATCTTAATTGCGTACAAATTACAGAAATTCTCCTTAGATAGAGCTTAAACTCATGACGCATCGTCTATGGAACAACGCCTAAGTTATCGTGGTATGATGAAGGGTAAACATGGTACTTGGTAAATCTCGGGTAAATTATCAATTACTCCTTTGAACACCTGCTGGTCAACTTAAAATTTAAATATTATCAATAAAACTTTACTTTCAAGTTTCAATCAATACTTTTCTTTTCTATTTTTTAGTGTTTGAAGAAATATGCGCGGCAATAGAGATCAAAGGCACAAGAAGACGATACTTATAAGTATACTCCACTTCTGACCTTCGCCAAATCCGCTATACTACACATCTCTGACATCTGACCTACTAGCGCGCAACTGCTGCATGCCGCATGGACTTGTGGCCGCAGCGCCAGGCCCCCTACAGCCTGTCCTAGCCGCGGCACTCGGCCCCCTAACCATGGTACTAGCCGCAGCACTCGGCCCAGAAATAGTCTTAGCTATAACCAAACCTAATTGTTCCTTTCCTACCTTGAAAGTATCAAAGAATTGCGAAATGTTTTGAATTTACAGTTCAAATTTTGCCCTCCCCCCCCCCCCCCTAAGAGCAAAAAATTGGCCCCCATGGATTTATTTCTGTGCAGTACGCGCCCTCAAGTTCATCCGTCCATTCCTTTTTCTCCGAGTCCGAACAAATTGAAAATTATATCATGTATATATATATATATTTGTTCGGAGAAAAAGGAATGGAGAGATGAACTTAAGGGATCAAGGGCAAATTTTTTATGCCCCCTTAGGACACAGAGCCAACCGGCCGGCCCTTTAACAGTTAAAAAAAATTTTGTCTGCAAACCATTAAAACACAATTTTCATTTTGAAAAATTTCGCTTTGTACCCTGAACCCAAACCAGAGGCGTATACAGGGGGGGGGGGCTATATGGAATAAAGAAAAAAAATTAATAGTCTAAAAATTACCTTCCTATTCCATAGTTTATGGGTCCCACTGTATATCCACATATAGTGACATAGTTTATATGAAAATTCACTGTGGAGTATATATCCTAATTCTAAATTAACTGAACGTGTGGCTCAGAGTCATATATAACAGTCAATATTAGCTACGAGAGAAGATATCAGACAGGTATAAAACGGTCCTCTTCCAGGAGTTATACTTTCTTTTTAACAAACCTCCTTACAGGGCTATTACTGATTTCAGTTTCCATATGTATTTTGAAAGGCTAGTGCTGGTTTCATATTTCTTGAGATTGAAAGATTTAGTGTGATTCAAGAACCTCTCCTTGAAGGTATGTGATTCAAGAACCTCTCCTTGAAGGTATTAGAGGTTAGTCCAATGTAGACTGAAGTTTCATCATTTGTGATATTTTTGCTTTGTATATAATTGACTGAGTTAAACATTTGCCTTTTAAAGGAGATCTTGCTTCACCAACTCGGCAATTACACTCTTTCTTCTTTTCTGATTTAGTAGATTTTTCTGTTTCTTGTCTGATTATCTTTCTATTGTGTCCCGCAATTATCGACTCCATATTGCCCATGCTGCTGTCCTGTAGGACACTTTAACATTCGATCTATTGAAATATTTTCCTAAGTCGGTGTTTTTGAAATGCTTATCAATGATTGACAGGAACTTTGCTGCAACATTTGCAACATTTGCACTGTAAGGTGGATTAAACCAGATAACTTTTCTATGCCTTTTTCTTTTTGATTCCTTTTCTTTTTCTTCCGTATAAACCAGTTTTTCCTTGTAACCTGCATTTTTTAATGCTTCTTCATATGGTGGAGACTCAATTTCAAACATTTCTCTAGAGCTGGATAGATTAGATAGTCTGCTGCAGATCATTCTTGGTAACTCTTTCTTTATATTTGGAGGATGGTTGGAGTTTATATCAATGTACACAGGTGTATCATTTGGTTTTCTGTAAGCTTTGAAACTATTGTTTTTTAGATCAAGCCAGAGGTCTAAAAAGTCTGTTTGTGTTATATTACCATCAATTCGTATATATATATATATATATACGAATGTCTTGTTTTATTATATAGATTGTTACATATCATGGAATTTGGGGGGATAGGAAGGGCTGTGAAAAAATTGAGCCCCTCCCCCCTACCCCCCGGGACAAAGTTCTTAATACACCCCTGATTGTATATGTATGAAAAATGAGGTTATTATGACGTCCCTTATGTCTCTATTAGGCGCAAGAACCCAACCCATTATTCCGATTAGACATTAAGAGGCACTTATAGTCGGGATTGGCAAAACACTGTGTCTGCGAGAGTGAAAAAATCTAGAATATGCCCAATGCTATATGACTGAACCCCATCTCCCCAGACAAAATCAAGCTCTTCTGCTCCCATTTTAGTTTTGTGTTTCATTTAACTTCTTTAAAACCCAACCGAATATATAAATTGATACAACCCAGACCAAGACACGCAATAATATCATATGTTTCAGTTTTTACTAATAGTATACAATATTTACAATACATACTAAGGGGCGGATACAGGGTAGGCGCGTAGGCCATGGAGCGCCCGCTCACTCCTGAAATTGTTAGGGGTGAGCAGGAAAAAAATTTAAAGTTTAGCTTAACCCTAATAAATTCCTGTATCCATCCCTGCACATATACTCCCTTAAATCATAAATAGTCTTGCATTTTAATAATATGTGTATATGTCATGTTTCTATATCATTCAGCATTAATTAGGTCTTGTACAGATCTAATGAAAAGCAAGGTGATATACGAACGGTATAACTTTAAAACAGAACGGAAAGCCCTGAAGAACAAACAGATACCTAAAAAGTTATGTTATTTTTACTAGATGTTAGCGAACAGTTTGAAAAAGTCTTAACGTGTCCAGCCCTATGAGTAGACTCTGTTTTCAAAGACAACTAAAAAAAATTCAATTCCCCCCTTCCCCCTGAAATGGGTATAAAAAGTGTTTGTCGACCCCAATTAAGAATTAAGAGTGATTTTATCAGTGTCTATGGGATCGAAAGTGTTTTTTCGTTTTATTTGTGAGTTCCTGGACTTTTACATATCCGTCCAGAGTTGAGTGAATGACTGAGAATTACACCAAGTTTCTTATCACAGTGCATGACCAGGATTAATAACTGAAACATTGATAAGATTGTTGTGTAATAATACATGCTTTACAATCATAATAAACCTAGAGGATTGTGTAGTTCAGATGATTAGATTATAGAAGATTCAGTAAGAACAGAAAATACCAAATTTAATCTTTATTACAAAACTTTTTATCTCTAATTGAAATTACATTCAAAACCACTTAGTTTTATTTTGTTACCTTGAGGGATGTTGATTAAATTCGACACAGCTTATATATCAAGAGTAACTGAGTTCTTGCCACAAACTCAAACTTTCTAACCTCTATACTTTAGCAATCTGATTGTGTAAACTTCATATATCTAAACATTAACTATTGGATATGACAGAATTCATAGTTTGAAATCTCAAAGATCTACGACTTCAGATTGCAAAGATATAGGGATTAAAACTGAGTTTCTCTATGATCGAGACCGTACCGACTTTAAAGAATTGTCAAGTTTATACCTCAAGCAAACATACTTTTTATAGTCCTGGATATGAAGGTTTCAAATCTGCAAGCTTTGTGTTAAAAAAGTATTTATTCATATAGTTTCGCATCTAAATGTGCATTCTTAGCTCATATAGTGACTACAAGGACGCACGGTCAGCGTGCTGCTAACCCGGATACAAGTTACCTTTTTTGTTGTTGTTGTGTATTTAGTGTCCTTGACACGGTGAATTAGGCGTCAGTCGTCACGTTTTATTTTTGAAAACTATAGCTCTGCAACTCCGTCTTCCTGTACTTACTAATTATGATCTTAATACAATCTAAATATTATACATAAAGGAATTTAGTATTTGCCACAAACTTAAATTTTATATTCCATATCTGCTACATAATACTAACAGAATTCATAGTTTGATATATATATTTATATGGTCCATCAGACTATCTAGGAATATATATTTATATGGTCCATGAAATTGGGTTGCAAAAATAAAGGGATTATAAAATCAGAGCTTTGTGTCAGACTCAATTCCTTTGGCTGGTGTGTCTGTCTAATGTTTGTATCCAATTAATGTTCAAACGGCTGAAATTTTATAGCTTTAAAATTCACGATGGAAAAATTGCATCCGGGTAACATTAATAATAAAACAGCGCAAAGAACCCTAAAAGTCTAGTTTATACAAATGTGATACAAGAATATATTTATCCGAATGCTCCTTCCCTAGAAGGTCAATTGATATCTCATTTGAAATTAAATTTGGCACAGATATTGACAGCTAAGAATAAACTTTTCCCAGATTAGGTCTAACAAGATTATTTTTAATCATCTTGTTTTCTTCATGCGTTTCTACTTTTATCATGCTTTAAACCATTTATGATCAATTGTAGAAAAAATTCTATTTAAATCTATTTTCAACGTTAATATTGTCATTTTGAAAAGGTTGTCATACATATACAGCCCTAGTTAAACTACTTATAAGAAGGGTAGAAAGTATTAAACTTTATATTGGGGTCATCTTGCTTTCTCTCTCCTGTCTAATAAATATCTGGAGACAAGGGTAAGCGGGTCAGTTTAACCTAAATACCAGGATGCTGTGGACCCTGCTACTAGGCTGGTGTTTATGCACCCCTACCGTCATAACCAGCTCCATAATAAACCCTGCAGAGAATTATATAAGTGACTTGGAAGACTTGATGATAGTACAGGAGAACACGATCACCAGAACCAAGAGGGATTCTGATAGAGGAGTTACGTAAGTGTCTTTGTCTGATGAATGTTTTCAATTAAAAAGAATACATTTTAAACTATAATTTAAGTTTCAAATGAGATGAGTTAACAGGCCACAAAGTCTTACCAGGAATTCTAAATAAAATAAAATTTTGAGTTTGAAGTGATAATTGTCAATTTAAATACGAATTATTAAAAAAAAAAGTTTAAAGAGAACCAAAAAGAACGTTATCATCTTGTGTAACAATTAAGGTTTCATCTCGAGAAGTAAAAATGTGAAATAAACCAAATAAAAAATTTACCAAATAAAGTATTTTGATTAACCCAAATATTCAAGTCCAACCTAAACAATTATAAATCAAACGCTTTTAAAAAATTACAGCTGAGAATATAGTTTACCGAAAATAGGTATATTTACTCATCATTCTTTAACTTTGAATCTAGCTTATACTTTGTTGTGCACTTGTCAAATGTTTCAGTTTAACATGAAGTCAATTGTACAAAAAATCGAATTTTTTAGGGTAAGGTGAAAGAGTCACAAAGAGAACGAATTATTTTGCGTGTCACCATAGCCTGAAAAAATAATTGTATCTTGGGTTTCCCCTTGTAATACGATTACCATATAAAAACTCCTTTTAATTGCTTTTAAAAACACAATTCAAACTGAAGAAATGAGGCCTGTCCTTACTGGCAAAAAAGGTTTTTCACTCTTGCAGATAGAAAAACTTCGGAAATTATTTTTGAAATAATTTTACATCCTCATCGGCCAGTCCTATAGAAAATCACCACTATTATTGCATAGATAAATGAAAAATTGTAACAATAAACAAATGCAATAAATTTAAAAGAACCCTGGAAGGTTAGACTTTTTGTTAAATTAAATTTACTTTTTACCTACTTTTGAACTTAACATTGTACCCAACCCTAACATCTTAGGATTAAAAATATATAAATAAGATTAATGGAATGAAAATATAATTTAGTAACCTGGATATACGAGCAGCCATCTTGCAGCTGGTCAACGTTATTAGAGATGGAAACAAGAAGGCAGAGAAGGCAGATTTCGAACAGAACCAGCAAATATCCGAGATCCTTGAGCTTTTAAAATCAATGACAGGGTCTAGTGGTGTGGATAAGAAGATTGATAATATTTCAACTTTTCTTCTTAGGATGAATAACAAGATAGATTCAATTTCTAGGTATATTATTATGATGATGATGATTATTATAATAGTAGTAATAACAATATTACAAATAATAACAATAATACCATTAATAATAATGATAATAATAATAATTACTAGGTGAAGTGCCAGGCGTTGCTGGTGGATTTTTATAAAATCGAATTTTAAAAAAATTTCGAATTTATTTTAGCCTATGCTAACCCCGGGGTACTCGAGGGTTCCCTCAAAAAATTTCAGCCCATTCGGTCCAGCCATTTGGCCAGCTATAGCTAGCATATATAACTTATGCAAAGAACTTTATTATATAGATAAAAGTGATGATGTTGAAGATGATGATGATAATAATAATA